TGAGTTTTGACATTAGAATACAGCCATCCTGACAATCGCTGCTATGTCTGAGCCCACTGCTGCAGCCACTGGGTCAATCCATCTTATTGAGAGTCGCCCTCTTTTTCACTGACCCCCTGCTTTATCAAGCATGATGGCTTTCTCCAATGACTAGTCCCTCCTGATGATGTGTCCAGAGTTAAGTAAGATGAAGTCTCACCATCTTTGATTATAAGGAGCATTCTGGCTGTACTTTCTCAAGGACTGCTTTGTCCACACTGCTTTCTGGTATACTCAGTATTCTTCACCAACATCACAATTCTAATGCATCAATTCTTCTTCAGTTTTCCTTTCTAATTGTTCAGCATTCACATGCACATAAAGCAACTGAAAACGCCATTGGTCGGGTCAAGCACACCTTACTCCTCAAAGTGGTAACTTTGCTTTTTAACAGTTAAAGAGGTCTTTTGTTCCATATTTTCCCAATGCAATACGTTGTTTGATTTCTTGACTGCTGCTTCCATGGGTAGTGATTGTTGATTCTTGACAAATTCAGTTTCTTTACTGTCCATAATGATGTTGTTTATGGGCCCAGTTATGAGGATTTTCATTTTCTTCATGTTCAAGTGCAATCTATAATGAAGGTTTTGATCTTCATCAGTAAGTGCTTGAAGTCATCTTCATTTTCAGCATGCAAAGTTGTATCATGTGCATATCACAGGTTCTTAATGAGTCTTTCTCCACATTCTTCTTCATATACACCTACCCCTCACTTATTGGCTATCTCATTATCTAACATTTTGCATTTATTAAGATAGTAAAAAATCTACTATCTGACGATTTTATGTATTAACAATATACATCTGGCAGTAACGAATGCCTAGGTATGAGGCAAGAATAACACTGGTTGTCATGGTTAAGGTTATGTGTCAACTTGGCTAGGCCATGATTCCCAGTAGTTTGGCAGTTATGTAATGATGTAATACAGCACATACGTAATTATGTAATTTGGCAGTTATGTAATGATATGGTCATCCTCCATTTTCCTATATGCCAATTTTTGCATAACAACCTGGTCTTGGGAATCTAATCATGTCAATGAGTGAGGAGTGAGTATAATTCAGCTTCTTGGATTATTTGCTCAGAATAGACATTGAATAAATAAGGTGAAAAGATACAACCCCACAGCACACTTTCTCCAATTTTAAATCACACAGTATATTCTTGTTCTCTTCAAATGACTGCTTCTTAAACTATGTATTCTGCGTGAGCACAATTAAGTGTTCTGGATGCTCATTCTTCATAACATTATCTATAATTGTTACGGTACACACAATCAAATGTCTTTGCATAATCAGTAAAACACAAACAAGAAGATGATAAAAAAAAGAACAGCTGCAGCCATCAACAACAAAATGGACAAATAAATTATGAGAATGGTCTACAATAACATACAAGAATATGGATTAATCTTGTAACATAATGTTGAGTGAAAAAAAGAATTCATAATCTATGATTTGTGTCTATGAAATCAAAACAAGAGAAACTATGCTAATGGAAGTCAGGGTAGTGGTAATCCTGTTGGTTAGAACAGTGACGCAAAGTAAGACTAGGTTTTCTAGGGGCTGCTAGTATTCTATTTTTTGATCCTAGTGCTGATTTCACATTTGTATTTAGCAGGACTGGCACTAGGGTGAAGCAAGCAAGATACCTACAGCGTACAATTTAAAGAGGCACTCACTCTTGACACCTGGAAGGAAGTGCCTCCTTCAATTAGTCTCCGGGTTCGCTGCTTACCTCGCCCTGGTCCTGGTCAGTCTGTGAATATTTGTTGGGCTGTATCATTATGATGTGAATATTTTTAGGTTTGTATATTATTCTTGAATTTAAAATGTTAAAGGAGTCTAGTCTACCTCACACCACAAATGAAAATAAACTCCAAGTGGATTAAAAACTTAAATGTGAAAAGATGAACTTTAAAACTTTTAAATAAAGTTTAAAATGTAAGAGAAATGTAAGAGAATAAAATGTGAGAGAATACTACTAATGACCTCATATAGAGGAGGATTTCTTAAGGATATCCAAAATACCTATCAAAGGAAAATATTTGAGTACATTAAAATTAAGAACTTCACTTTATCAAAGGACATCTTAAAGTGAAAATACAAATAAAAAACCTGAAAAAATCGAAACATGTAATTGCAAAACAACAAACAAACAAAAAAACCCAAACTCGCTGCCATCGAGTCAATTTCAACTCATATCCCTTTTGCCTTTCTGAGGTGGTAAATCTTTACAGAAGTAGATTACCCAGTCTTCCTTCCATGGAGTGGCTGGTAGGTTCGAACTGTCAATCTTCTGGTTAGTGGTCAAATGCCTTAGGCACTATGCCACCAGTGTGCCTTATATAATTGCAAAGGAATTATTATTCTGAGCATATTTTTAAAATCAATGAGGAAAAGACAAATAATGTAACAGAAAAATGCATGAATGATTTAACAGCTAGTTTAAATACAAGAAAACCAGAAAGGCCAAAAAACACGAAAAGATGTTCAAACTCACTAATAATCAGGGAAATTCAAATTAAATCAGGACGCATTATCATTTAACATCCAGCAGACTGGCAAAAAACATAAACTCTGACAATAATATGTGTTGACAAGAATGTAAAGCATTTTCATCCACTGTTGGTAGAGTATTCAGGGCAAAATGGTTCAGTAATTGCCATCATAAACAAGGGCTGCATATGCACTGCATAGCAACCAAATCTGTCACACATGGTATTTTGACCTGAGGAGGAAACAATGCTGAATGTTTGACACTTTGAATGTGTGTTGTTCTCCAGAGCCCTGACAATAATCCAAGTTCCTTCATCAGGCTTCTGAAACTTTCAGGAGGAAGTACTGTGGCAGAACTTGTTTTTGTTTTTTCTTAAATTTTTATTGTGATTTGGGTGAAAGTTCACAGAGAAAATTCATTTTCCATACAACAGTTCATACATATTTTGTTTCATGACAAAATTGCAGCAACACTACAATTCCCCACAATGTAACAGCTTTCTTCGCACCTCCTCCCCTAGTTACCTCTTCCCTTTGTCCTTCTTTCCTGTGCATTCCTGTTCCCTGGGCTATCTCCCTGCCTAAACACAGCCCTTCTGTTCTCCCATGATTGATTGCTCTAAGGAAGTGTATCTACCTGGTGTGAATGTTCACCCCATATGCCTGTCTATTGTTTGGCTGGAAGCCATGGGAATGAGTTCAATTCTAGACCTGAAGGGTAACTGGGGGCCATAGTCTCAGGGGTCTCACCAGGCTCTATAAGACCAGTAAATAGTAAACTAGGTCTTTTTTTTATGATTTTGAGTTTTGTTCCACACTGTTCTCCCACTCTATCCAGGATCTCCTGCACTGATCTCTTTCTGAGTGGCTGACAGTGGTGGCTGGGCACCATCTAGTTCTTCTGGTCTCATGGTCATATAGGTTGAGGTTCTCATGGCTGAGGTTCCCTTGGGCTAATGGTTTCCATGTGTCTTTGGTTTTCTTCATTCTTCTTTGCTCTGGATGAGGAGAGATCCATTGTTGCATCTAGATGGCTGCCTGCAAGCTTTTACAACCCTAGTCGCTACTCACCAAAGTAGGATGTAGAACAATGTTTTTGTGTAGTATGTTATGCCAATTGACCTTGATGTCCTCCACAACCATGGTCCCAAGCCTACAGGTCCAACAGCTCACTCCCTCAGGGTGGCTGGTTGTGGCTAAGAAGTTATCATAACCTTTCCTCCATTAGTTCTAGTTATCTGGACATTCTTACTGCACATACAAATATGTATGTAGAAATACTTTCTGCCAACCTAATATATGGTCATGGGTATATTCCCTTTTGCCTAGACATATCAATCATTCAGCCTGTCTGCCTATCTATGTACCCACAGATTAATGTTTGTTATCACTGACAGTGCAGTATTGTATATGTCAAAGGGTTTATCTTTGTTGTCTGTACCCTTTGTGTACCTCTTTGCATCTTCCTCTTCTTCAGTGCTGTGGCAGGACTTTTGGAGAGAAACATTATTGACAGAACTCTGGAGAACAGCACACATTCAAAGGCTGCCATCTTGGAGTGGAACACAGCTATTTGTTTCCTACTCAGATCCAAGTACCAACGACAATAGATTTGGTTGCTATGCAACACTTATATGGCCCTTGTTTATGACGGCAATTATGGAACCATTTTGAACTGGTTCCAATCCCTGATATAAATTGGTACAACCACTTTAAGAAACAGTTTTGCATTACCTAATAAAGTTGAAAACACTATGGAACCATTTTGAACTGGTTCCAATCCCTGATATAAATTGGTACAACCATTTTAAGAAACAGTTTTGCATTACCTAATAAAGTTGAAAATGTGGAAACCCTAGGACTCTTAGGTATTTCCCTAGAGACACTTGTGCACATGTACAGAAAGTAGAATAGAGGTTACTAAGGGCTGGGGAGAGGATGTCATGGGAAGTTATTGTTTGATGAGTATAGAGTTTCTGATTGAGATAATAAAAAATAGATAGAAATATCTATTTAGATATTTCTACATAGATAGCAATAGATAGTAGTGACGGTTACACAACATTATCAATGTACTTAATGCCACCAAACTGTAAACTTAAAAATGGTTAAAATGCTAACTTTAAGTTACATATATTTTACCGCAATAAAAAATTGGAAAAATGATTTATTTATAAATGAAAGAAAACCCACAGATTTTCCAAATTTATGGGTCCCTTTAACAAAAAAAAGTATCTTTTTCCATTCACAGTCATAGTTAATTTCATTTAACAAAGTTTATCTTCTTGAAGACAGTGCTTTTTTAAACTAAAAACTCCAGGAGGTCAAGGGCTAGTTTTGTTTCAGTTTTTATACCTGACACACTCCACTGGACTCTGTTACTATGACATGACCAGAGAAGAAACTGAAAACCATCAATCATGTTGAACTGAAGCAACAGAGGATCAGTAAGTATTGCCTTACATGATTGTTGCACTCCTCCTCATCATCATCACAGTCTAGGCCTTGATGGGCAATCTCAGTAGTGCCATTCTCCTGAAAGAGATTGTTCTCCAAATCACACACTCTGGTGGCCTTAGTTGTGACTTTCACTTTCATGCTGTGAAAGCCAGTGGAGACCAATCCCACTTGCAGGTTGATGGGCTCCCCCTCAAATAACAGGAAGTGTGAGTTGACCCCTTCTTTAAAACCAGGAGGCTGGTAATCATGTGGAGTCACTGCAAAACAAAAAGATCAGAAAGCCATGAAGGAATGTGTTTCAATAGAACAATTCAGATTAATTTTCCATTTGTAGCAAAGACATCTCTTCCAGATGCTTCTAAAATACTTTTATTTACATAAAATATTAGTCCAACATTTAAGAATTTGATTAGCGGTCTCTACTCACCCTCATTATAGTAGTGAAGATTCATAGTAAGTATAACGTCATTCGGAAGGGGTCCAAGGTGTTGCATAAGTATATATAGTTTACGGATCAGTAGAATGCTGGCTTTCTTAATATCTTCACTGTTTGTCCCACTTTCAAAGCTTGTACTGCTGCTATACTCACAGAGGGGAAACAGTGTACTTTCAGACATGCAGTATTGACAATATATTCCAAAAAGAACAAAAATTTTGATTGCATGATCAAATTAATATACATTAAGCATCAGAACATTATTCAGACTATTTTTAGAATATAAATTAGTGGAGTAATTATACTTTTTTTAAACATGTATACAAAGGATACAGCAGTAGCAAGTTCCCCTAAAGCATTTCAAATATGACCTGATATTAAAAATTTGATTTACAAATAACCAAGTACTGTAATAGTGCTAGTAATAGATTTGGAATTAAAAGACCTGGTTATACTGCTAACTAGATGAATGGTACTGGTGAAGTCATTTAGACACTCTAAGTCAGTTGGCTCATTTGTGCAATAAGCTTACAGACATTTCTACACTTCCCCAACTACAGAATCAATCCCAGCTCTGGGCCTTTCTACCACCTGGTTATCTGCCAAAGACATATCCTTCTCATTTCTTGAACAGATTACCACAATGTCTATCTAGCTATTCTTCCCACTTTGTTTCTTGTCCTTACTGCTAAATATTCTCCATACCACTGCCCACATAATATCCCTAATAATAATACTCCTAATAGGAAAATCAGCTTGTGTCACTTAAAATTCTTCTATTTCTCCATTAAATTTGAGAATGCTTGTGTACCATGCTTTTCATGACCAGCCCTGACTTCACCTTCACCTTCATCTGAAGTTACTACCCAGATTCCTCTCACTCACATTCATTTGCATATGCTACTCACTTTGCTTAGAATGTACTTTTCCTACTCCAGAGTCTTCTGAATTCATCTTTAATACCTAGCTCATGTGTCCCTTCTTCAAGGAAATTTTCCCTGATAAGCTCCACACCCTACCCCTCAGGATAACTGTTTGTCTGTTTACTACTGGACAGTGAGTGGCTGTATCTCTCATCTCCACAATACCTAGTTTAGGGCCCAGCTACAGTAAGTACTCAATAAACATTTGTTGAATTAATTCAGGAATGAATATATTAGACTAAATTATCTTCCAACTCTAAGAAGTTTTTATTTCTCTCCAAAGTTTTCTTCTCCAATTAGTTTCACATTTGAGTAATTTTCAGGAAAGAACATATTTTCACAGTGCCTTGCACATAGGTGGCATAGTGCCTAACACATCTGACTGCTAACCAGAAGGCTGGCAGTTCAAATCCACCAGCCACTCCTCAGAAGGAAGATTGGGTGATCTACTTTTGTAGAAATACCTCCTCAGAAACCCAAGGAAGGGTCGCTATGAGTCAAAGCAACTTGACAGCAGTGAGTTGGTTTTTTTTTTTTTTTTTTCCTGCACACAATAAGCACTCAATACTGAAAAGATAATTCTAAGTAAATAAACCACTGGGCATCGCTCTAACTCTTTGGAGTTACAGATGGAGACAGACTAGGAAGAAGGAAGAGGCCATCCACTTCTCAAAGAATTGGCCAGGGAAAACCTTATGAATAGCAGAGAAACTCTTTGAAAGCAGTGTAAATTCATAAAGCAAACATTTAGTAGTTGAAAATACTATCTTCTCTTTCAATTTTGAACAAACTTGAAATAAAGCTTCATAAGCTTGATCTAACAAATCTGAAGGTAGTAACCAGAGTAAAGGGCTACAGCCATGTAACTCATGGGATCCTTCAGGATACATCAGTAAAATCAAATTCAGAACTCCCTTGGATTCTTCCAGAGGAGAACTTATGTTTACTATGGAAGAGTTGATAAGATAATTTTGTGGCAACAGTTATTTAAACAAATGTGTACTTTAGGTTTCTAGGAAATCAGTAATGTACATTACCTTTTCTCCTCCTTAGTACCCGAATTTAGCCATTTTTGTTTTAGTGCTTACCTTCACAGCAAAAGACATCAATCTGGTTGTCATCTTGCCAGTAGTACTTATGTTTGAATTTTAGAGAATAAAATGCAGCTATTTTACATGAGATAATATGAATGAAAAGTGCTGTATAATCTGTAAACTGCCGAACCCAAAGCACCAAACTGAATTCATTATCGTCAAGCTGATTCTGACTCACAGTGACCCTCTAAGATGTCATCTGATCTCTTGACTGCTGCTTCCATGGGTGCTGACTGTGGATCCATGTAAAATGAAATCCTTGACAACTTCAATTTTTTCTCCATTTATCATGATGTTGTTCTGTGGTCTAATTATGAGGATTTTTGTTTTATGTTGACATGTCATCCACGCTGAAGGCTATAGCCCTTGATCTTCATCATCAGTAAGTGCTTCAAGTCTTCTTTGATTTCAGGCAAGCATATCACAGGTTGTTAATGAATCTTCTCTCAATCCTGATGTTGTGTTCTTCTTCGTATAGTCCAGCTTCTTGAATTATCTGCTCAGCATAGAGACTGAATAAGTATGGTGAAAGGACAAAACCCTGGCACATACCTTTCCTGATTTTAAACCACACAGTATCCCTTTGTTCTAACGACTGCCTCTTGGCCTATGTACAGATTCCACATGAACACAATTAAGTGTTCTGCAATTCCCATTATTCCCAATATTATCCATAATTTCTTATGATCCAGATAATCAAATACCTTTGCATAATCAGTAAAATATAAGTAAACATCTTTCTGGCATTCTCTGCTTTCAGCCAAGATCCGTCTGACATCAGCAATGATATCCTTCATTCCATGTCCTCTTCTAAATTCAGCTTGAGTCAGTTTTCTTGTGATGTACTACTGCAAACTTTAAAAATGATCTTCAGCAAAATTTTACTTGTGTGTGATATGAATGATATTGTTTGATAATTTCCACATTCTGCTGGAATGGGCACAAATATGGATTTCTTCCAGTTGGCTATTTAGCTATCTTCCAAATTTCTTGGCATACTTGGAAGCGAGTGCTTCCACCATTGTATCTGTTTGTTCTAACACCTCAATTGGTATTCCATCAATTCCTGGAGTCTCGTTTTTCACCTATGCCTTCAGTGCAGCTTGGATTTCTTCCTTCAGTATCACTAGTTCTTGATCATATGCCACCTCCTGACATGGCTGAACATTAACTAATTCTTTTTGGTACAATGACTAATAAATGTTATGCCTCAGTAAAACAGCTGCACTTGGAATCTGGTAAGAAAATATCCTTGACCTTGCTATTTAATACATTCATATATCTAAAACTCAGAATTTTAGACATGAAAGGAAAACACAGTGCTTTCTTGCCTTTCCATACAAGGACACACATAGGAAAATGGTATCTATCACTGGGATAAGCAGATGACACTGTCTGTGTCTGCAGGCAAATAATTCAGGGGTTTCATCTACCTACCTCAGGCACTGTCTGGCTATACTGAAGTCTGAGAAGATTGGTATATTCATACAGAAATTGAGAAACTTCGGGTTACTGGACAGAGTCTTACAAAGCTCTTCAACCAGCACCATGTAGACAGCCTTATAATTTCTGCTGCTGTGCCTCCAAAGACCACCACCATAATCACCACTACCATGAGGTACCATTGATTGAGTGCTTATCAGATGCCGGCATGGGTAAAGCTTTATACATGCATTATAACAACCACAGTGACTCTGAGGTAGGCAGTACTATTAGTTCCACAATGCAGGTATTAGAACACTACTATTTAGGGAGCTTGAGTTACCTAACCATAGTTATATGGCAAGTAATAGAGCTAGGGTTTAAAGTAGGACTTTCTGCCTTGGGACTTGGAACTTTACCCACTAAACTTGTCTTAGATCCTAGAAACACTACTTTTGAAGAGAAAAAGGAAAGGAGAAAGCCTCTACACCCCCAGCTTCATCTGTGGATTTCAGAAATTAAAAAAAAAAAAATACAGTCTTTTATAATGATAATAGTTTTCTGTACAGTTGGTAGGGAAGTTACAAAAGCAGTATAACTCTGGCTTCAAGAAGCTTATGTTTACCTCAACCCCATATATTTATCATATGCATTAAACAATTAGATTCTACCTGTTGAAATCCATAGTGGCTCCTTCTTTTGTGTATTTGAATTTGAACTGGTATATCTCGGTCACTTTCTAGAAACATTAAAAGGAATAGAGAAAGAAATTACTTTAAAGCCTAGAACTGAACTCAACTCCAGGGATTAACTTTCAGCTAAAAAATAAACAGGCCTATAAAGTGAGTAACAACAAGTAGGAATGTACTTTTCAGATGAATTAACTATACGAGATCAAAAGGGCAGCATTTGCTAAAAACCAAAGCTCAGAAGGCAAGACGGGGCATGAAAGGATGAACGGAAATCAGGAACCAAGGGAAGAAAAGGGGAAAGTGCAGTTACATGAAGGGACTGCAACCAATGCCAGAAAAAACATATAAATATGTATAAACTGTTGAAAGGAAAACTAATTTGCTCTGTAAACTATCACTCAAACTATAATTTAAAAAACAAAAACAAAACAAAAAACCCTAATAAATAAATAAATCCAGAATCTCACCTGAGAAGCAAAGAAAATTTTCACTGTATACCAACTACACTTCCTACATACCTGTTTTACACTATTGCATTATTAAAGAATAATATTTTCAGATATAAAAATAATTTTTCTCCTCCATGTTAAACATGACTTAGGCGGCAAATGCTACCATTACTATTTTATAGTTGGAGAAACTAATGCACAGAGTCAAGTATCTGAATCAGTGTAGGTCAATGACAGTGGAACCAGTTGAGGAAACATTCATTCATGTAACAGATAATTACTGAACACCTACTTTGTATCAGGCACTGGAGTCACAGTGGTGAACATGAAAGAAAATGTCCCTGTATTTCTAGAATATACAGTGTGGTGAGGGAGACAGTCAATAAATAAGTAAACCAAATAATTTCATATAGTGATACATGCTGTGAAGACTACAAAGCAGATGATGTGATAGAGAGTACATTAGGACAGAGGTGCGGATTTGGTTTGAAAGGGCCAAGGAAGGTCTCATTGAAGAGATAATGTTTGAGCTGAGCCTTGGTGACAAGAGGTGGTCATGTGCAGATGCAGGAGAGAGGGGTGGATGTGGGTAGGGATAGCAACTCAGGCAGTAGGGACAGCAATGCAAAAGTTCCCAGAAGCTTGGCCTGTTCTAGGATCACAGAGAAGGCCAAGTGGTTAGAGATTGGTGAGCATGGACAGTATAGTAGATAAGGCTACAGAGGGCTTTGTTAGCCCCAGTAAGAAGTTTAGATATTATTTTAGGTAAACCAGGCCACTGAAGTATTCTAAGGATGTGACATGCATTGTATTGTGTCCTCCAAAAGGATATGTTGAAGTCCAAATCCCTGGTACCTCATTTGGAAATAGCATCTATAAGATGCTGACAGGAGGCCATTCTGGAGTAGGGCAGACCCTAGTCTAAACTGAGTAGTATCCATGTAAAAGAGATGAAGAGACACAGAGAACAGACAGAGGGAAGATGGTAGCCAGAGGAGAGACAGACAAAGGAAAGATGTCCAGTGACCTAGTTTGGAAATACAGTCTTTACAGATGTTATCAGTCAACAGCGGTCCATTCAGGAGTAGGGTGAGTCCTAATCTAATTTGAGTGCTTTTTGTAGAAGAGGTGAAGAGACACACAGAGACGAAGAGAGGGAAGATGGCCAGGGACCTGCTTGGGAAAGTGACTTTAAAGAGGCTCTTAGTTAACAAGAGGCCATTCTGGAGTAGGGTAGGTCTTGGTCTAACCTGAGTGCTACACTTTTAAAAGAGGTGAAGAGACGTAGACAGACAGATGGAGGAAAGCTGGCCATGTGAGGAAGGAGTGATGTTGCAGCTGCAAGCCAAGGAATGCCTGGGTTTACCAGAAGCTGAGAGAAACAAGGAAGGAAATTTTCATGGTGTTGTTGTTATGTGCCCTCAAGTGGGACCCGACTCATACTGACCCCTCCTTGCGTTTCCGAGGTGGTATCACTACAGAAGTAGACTGCCCCATCTTCCTTCTGAGGAGTGGCTGGTGGGTTTGAACTGCCAGCCTTCTGGTTAGCAGTCAAGTGCCTTAGGCACTACACTACGAGAGCTCCCAGAAATTTCCATAGAGCCTTCCAAATGAACGTGTCTTTGCCAACATCTTGAATTCAGAATACTAGCTTCTAGAACTGTGCAACAATAGATTCTCTTTTTGTAGGCCATCCAACTTGTGGTACTTTGTTATGGTGGCCCTAGTAAACTAATGCAGGATCAGAGTGATTGGCATTGCTTTAAGATCACCTTTCTTGCAATGAAAGGCTATTAAAGGCTAAAAATACTTAGTTTAGTGTTGACCACCACCAGTTAGGTTAAGCAATATCTACAGTTGCTATCATCAGGCTAAATCCATAGGCTTAGAGAAGCAAAGTTGAAAGCAAGTAAAAAGGAAAAGGCAAGAATGGAAACATGCAAGGAGGCAGATAAAGAGAGGGGACTGAGAAGACAGAACAGAGGCTTCTCCTCCCATTTCTGTGCTACAGCCACAGCTGCCACTCAGTGACAGAAGTGATTATTACAGGGCCAGGGCCATGACATTCACTCTGGGAGACAGAAAACAAGGTAAGACTCTAGTCCTCAAGAATTTACAACTTAGTTGGGGAGATAAAGTAACCAGCATGGCTCAACTGAGAGCATTAACTTGTGAGGTGCTGCTAGAAAAGGAATTTACACAGGAATAAAGGAGTACGGACAGAATAGCCAAGGAGGATTTCCCGGGGGATCTGGACCTAAGTTGGCCTGAGGATGAGTGGGATTCAATAAGCAGAGGGAAGGAATCTAGACAAGAAGAGGTAAAGGTATGAAGAACTATGAACAAGCATCCTAGTTACCTGTGCTGCTGTACCTGAAATACCACAAGTGTCTGGCTTTAACAAACAGAAATTTATTTTCTTACAATTTACAAGTCTAGAAGTCTGAATTGAGAGCACTGGCTCTGGAGGAAGGCCCTTGACTCCTTTCAACATCTGTGGGTGCAGCATTCCTTGGAGATCTTCATGTGTCTTGGCATCAACCTCTCCCTGTCTAGGAAGTTCTCAGTGTGGGGACCCTGGGTCCAAAGGCTGTACCACTCCTGGCTCTTCTTTCTTGGTGGTACTGAGGTCCCTCCTTCTCTGCTCACTTCTCTTTTCTTTTTATTTTTTGTAAGATAAAAGGTGATGCAGGTCACACCCCAGGGAAACTTCTCTTACATCAGATCAGGACTGAGACCTCAGAAAGGGTGTTGTATCTCACCTGAATCTCTTTAGAGGTGATTGGTTGATCATTACAAAACTGCAAAATTATGCAACTGCCAAACCACCAAGAATTATGGCCCAGACAAGCTGACACATATTTGAGGGGGATATAATTCAATCTATGACATTCTACCCTTTGGTCCCCAAATTTTATATCCTTGCCATACGCCAAACACTTTCACCCCATCATATCATCCCAAAAGTCTTCAATCAACTCCAATTTCAAATTCCATGCTGGGGCAAAATTCCTCTTTATCTGTGAACCTGTGAAATCTGGAATACAGCTTATCTGTTTCCAAAGTACAATGGTAGAACAGGCACAAGGCAGACATTTCCATTACAAATGGAAGAAATTGGAGGGAAGCAAGGAGTAACCCAGTAGAACAATTTACACTAACTCTCAAGGCTTGAAAAGAATCCTCTGTTCTCTGGAACCATCCAGACAGTGGCCCTGCCCTCCACACTGTGAGTGTTGGCCATGCTATCTGGACTCTGGGCAGAGATCCCTTGGGCCTAGGCTTCAGCTGCCTTCCAGGTACACTGGGATGGCAACTCTGCTCCCTTGGCTTTCGGCGTTCCCATCCGCCTCACTCAACTGAGTAGTGACTCCACTCCTTTGGCCTTAGCAGGTCCCGTTCTTCTGCCCCTTGGGTATGGCAGCCCTACCTCCTCAGCATCAGGCAATGGATCTGGCCCCATCCCCCTGGCATTCGTGAATGGCAGCCCCACACTCTGGAAATGAGTTGATGAAGATCTGACACTGAAATCTAGGAGGCTGTGTCTCTACCTTCTGAAATGCCAAAGGCTACAGCCCCACCCCTTGAGACCCCAGAGGCATAATTCTATCCTTTAAGACTATGCAGCTCCGATTCCCATGATCCTTATCTCTTCAGCTTCTGTTTTGTGGTCCTTGGCCTCTCGGCCACTCAACCTCTTTGAGCCTCTTGGCTGGCTTGGCCTCTGCCCTGCTTGGGCTAGTATTACAAAGGTTTTTTTTTTTTTTTTTTTTTTTGGTGATTTGGGTGAAAATTTACAGAGCAAATTCACTTTCCATACAGCAGTTCACATACACTTTGTCTCATGACACTGACCACAATTCACCACAATATAACAGCTCCCTTCCCACTTCCTCCCGATAGTCACCTCTTCCCTGTGTCCATCCCTCCATGCACTCCTGCCCCCTGAGCTGTCTCCCTGTGCATACACAGCCTTTCTTTCTCCCATGACTGTTTTCTCCAAGGAGTGTATTTACCTCAGGTAAATGTTTAACTCCTATGCCTGTCTTTTGCTTGGCTGGAAGCCACCGATGTGGGTTCAATTCCAGACCTGAAGGACGGCTAAGAGACATAGTCTCAGTGGTTCCACCAGGCTCTGTCGGACCAGCAAACCTGGTCCCCCCCTTTTTTTTTCTCCAAATGATTTTGAGTTTTGTTCCACATTGTTCTCCCTCTCTATCCAGGATCTCGTACATAGATCCCTCTCCAAGTGGTGGACATTGGTAGCTGGGCACCATCTAGTTCTTCTGGTCTCATAGTTGTATACGCTGCAGATCATATGGTGTACCAGTTGCTAGGACTAATTCTTTCCATGAATTTTCAGTTTTCTTCATTCTTCTTTGCTCTGGATGAGGAGAGACCCATCACTGCATTTAGGTGGCTGCTTGCAAGCTTTTAAGATCCCAGTTGCTACTCAAGAAAGTGGGAGGTGGAACAATGTTTTGTGCAGTATGTTATGTCAATTGAACTTGATGTCCCCTGTGACTATGGTCCTGAGCCCACAGGTTCAACTACTCGGTCCCTCTGGGTAGCTGGCTGTGACCAGGAAGTGACTACACCTTGTCCCTTGTCAGCTCTATTATACACCTGGGAATTCATTGTCTGCCAACCCTATACATGGTCTTGGGTACACTCCCCACTTCATAGACATACCTACTAGTTCAGCCTGTCCACCCATCTATCCACCCATACACCCATGTTTGCCTTCACTGACAACACAGTACTGTATGTGCAAAAGGGTTCATCTTGTTGTCTGTACCTCCTATGTACCTCCCCATGTCTTCCTCTTCCTTAGTGCCACGATACTGATCACTCACATTTGGTACATCGCCCTTCTCTTCACCCAAATCGATACTTATCTCTACCTATCTAACAGTGTTCCCTCCCCTCCCCTCTCACCCCGGGTAACCAACAAAGAAAATTTCCTTCCATAGATAAACCTTTCCCTGATTTTTACAATAATGGACCAATACAATATTTTGTCCTTTTGTGATTGACTTATTTCACTCAGCATAATGTCCTCCAAGTTCATCCAC